GAACACTTGCCAGTCATTTTATGAAACAAACATCTCCCTGATACCAAAACCAGACAAAGATGTTAAAAGAAAAAAAAAAAAAAAACCTTTAGAATGATATCCCTCGTAAATGCAAACATTTTTAATATAAGCAAACTTAATCCAAGAATACATGAAAAAGATAATACATCATGACCAAGTGGGATTGATCCTAGAAATACAAGGTCAGTTTAAAACGTTCAGAAAACCTGAGGCATCTGAGTTGAATGCTTGATCTCAACTCAGGTCTTTATCTCAGGGTCATGGGATCAAGCCCTGTGTCAGGTTCTGTGCTGAGCGTGGAGACTGCTTAAGATTGTTTCTCTCTCTGCCCCTCTCCCCCACTTGTGTGCTTGCTCTCTCTAAAAACAGAAAACCAAATATTTCTAAAACAATTTTTTGATTCAGAAAACCAATAAATAATTCACTGTATCAACAAAATGAAAGACAAAAAGTCGATCATCTCAGTAGATAAAGAAAAAGCACATGACAAAATTCAATACTCATGATAAAAAGTCTCAACAAACTAGGAATAAAAAGAAACATCCTTTACCTATTAAAAGACATCTACGACAACCTACCACCAACAGAATGTGATGGTGAAAGAGTGAATGTTTTCCCTAAGATTAAGAACAAGGAAAGGGCCACCCTCTCTTACTACCTCTATTTAACATTGTACCTCAGGTCTTAACCAGAGCACATAGGCACTTAATTAATTAATTAGTTAATTAATTAATAGTGCACAGTACAAAAAGGAAGAAGTGAAACACTATTCATAAATGTCATGATTTGGGGTTCAGAAAGCTACTGGAACTAATAAGTGAATTTAGTAAAATCACAGAATACAAGGTCAGTAGACGAAAACCAAATAGTATATTTCTATACACTAAAACTATTAGGGGCACCTGGGTGGCTTAGTTGGTTAAGAGTCTGACCCGTGGTTTTGGTTCAGGTCATGATCTCACAGTTTGGGAGTTTGAGCCCCAAGTCCAGTTCCACCCTGACAGCATGGAGCCTGCTTGGGATTCTCTCTCTCTCCCTCTCTCTCTGCCCCTCCCTCTCTCTCTGCCCCTCACCTGCTCATATTCCCTCTCTCTCTCTCTCCCTCTCTCAATAAATAAATAAACTTAAAAAATAAACTATTAGATGAAATTTTAAAATATATACTGCTTGTGGGGCTTCTGGTGGCTCAGTTGGTTAAGCATCCAACTTTTGATTTCGGTTCGGGTCATGATCTCAGGGTTCATGAAATTGAGCCCCAAATTGGGCTCTACACTGGCAGCTCGGAACCTGCTTGGGATTCTCTCTCTCTCTCCCTCTCTCTCTGCCCCTCCCCTGCTCTCTCTCCCTTTCTCTCTCAAAATAAATAAGACTTTAAAATGAAATAAGATATATATTATTTGCTATAGCATCCAAATACATGAAATACATAGGAATAAATTTAACAAGATATATAACAAGCATATATACACTAAAATCTGTAAAACACTGCAGAGGAAAATCTTTAAACAAATGCAGAGATCATAACATATTCATGGGTTGGATGACTCAAAACCGTGATGTCCTTTCTCCCCAAATTGAACTATGCATTCAAAGGAACCCCAATAAAAATCCCAGAAAGTTTTTTTGTAGAAAACGGCAAGCTGATTCTAAAATTTATATGAAAATCCAGGCACTTAGGTGGCTCAGTCAGTTGAGTGTCCAATGATTTCTTCAGCTCAGGTCATGATCCCAGGGTTATGGGATCAAGCCCCGCTGCAGGTTCTCTTTCTGAACCTGCGTGGGATTCTCTTTCTCTTTCTTTCTTTCTCTCTCTCTCTCCACCTCTCTCCGACTTGTGTGCTCTCTCTCTCTTCAAATTAAAAGTAAAATAAAATTTATGTGAAAATGCAAAACATCTAGAACATCCAAAACATTTTTGAAATAGAAGAACAGATTTGGAGAGCTCAACTACCTGATTTCAAGATTTGTTCTAATGTTACAGTAATCAAGACTGTAGTGTTGGCACTATGGCAGACAGATCAATAGAACAGAATAAAGTCTAGAAATAGACCAACATGTACATGGTTAAATGATTTTCAGCAAAATGTACCAAGGTATTTCAATAGAGAAAGGCTAGTCTTTTCCAAAAATAGTGCTAGATGAACTGGGTGGAGATCCACTTGAGGGGTAAAAGAAATGAACCTGACCTTTAGCTAACACCACACACAAAAATTAACTTCAAATCAATCACAAACGTAAAAGTACAAGCTCACACCACAAGACTTCTAGAAGAAAACTTAGGAGAAAACTTTTACAACCTTGGGTTAAACAAGATTCCTTCAAATACCAAAGCCATGAGCCATTGGACTTCGTCAAATTTAAATTTATCTGCTCTTCAAAAGATACCGTTTTAAAATATGAAAAGACAAGTTATAGGCAGGAGTAAAAAAATCTTTGTAATACATATACATGACACAACACAGGTATCCAATATATATATAAAATCCCTGCAACTCAGTAAGAATAATCTGAAATAGCCCAATTTAAAAATGGACAAAGTATTTAAACAGGTATTTTGCCAAAGAAGATACACGAATGATCAGTAAACACCTGAAAAGATACTCAACCTCACTTGTCATCAAACAGAAACAAATAAACACAAGAGATGTCACTATATACATCCACTAGAATGGCTAAAATTAAGAAGACTGACAATACCAAGTGTTGATGAAGATGTATGGCAACTGGAATTCTCATACATTGCTGGTAGAAATGCAAAATGACTTCAGAAAGTAGTTTTACAGTTTCACGTAGTTTAATACATGCTTACAAAATGATCCAGCAATTCCACTCCTAGGTATTTATCAAACAAAAACTAAAACATATGTCCATGCAAAGACTTGTTCATGTTATTTTTATTCATAATATATGTCTAAAACTGAAAACTACCCAAATATGCATCAACGGGTATATCAGTCAGGGACATATCACAAGGAATTGGCTTATGCGGCTCTGGGGGCTAGCAACAAGTCTGAAATCCACAGGGCAGGTCATCAGAAAAAGCAAACTGGAAGCTCTCTGGTAGGAGCTGAAGCCGCAGTCCACAGGCAGAACTTTTTCAGGGAAACCTCCCACCCACATTACTGACACTAATCTTTATATAAAGGCAGCTGATTATAGGTGTTAATCACCTCTACAAAATGCCTTCACAGCCACACCATTAGCGTTTGACTGAACAAGTAGGTATGATAGCCTAGCCAAGTTGACACATAAAACTGACCAGCACATGCGTGAGTATACAAATCATGGATAAACAATAAACAGAAACAAACTACTGATACAAACAATATGGGTAAGTAACTCTCAAAACACATTTTGTTCAACAAAAGGACTGGTGAAAAGACCCTGTAGGATTCTACTTATATGAAATTCTAGAACAGTCAATAATGATCCACAGTGTCAGAAAGCAGGTAAATGCCTAATGCCAATTAGGCATTGATGTGAGGATACTGACCGCAAAGGGAAACCAGAAAATTTGGGAGAGTGATGGATATTGTAACTGGACTGTGGTGGTGGCTACCCAGGTATATACATTTGTCAAAATTCATCAAATTATACACTTTAAATGAGTGCCTTTTAAGAAATAAATTATTTCTCAATAAAGTGGACATGTTAAAAAGGAAAAACTAAAAGCTGATTCCTGCACAGCACAAGCTCCAATCAAGGTTCCAGAGAGATATATCCAGTTCCTCTAGCACTATTTTTGGAAAAGACTAACCTTTCCTTATTGAATTACCTTGGCACTTTTGTTGAAAAGCACTGAACTTTAAGCACTGAACTTTATGTGTAGGTGAGAAGTTTCCAGAATGGAAAGGAAGGATAAAAATGCAATCTGATCAACTATACTTCATTTTTAAAAAGGGGTTGGGGGAGGAAGGAAAGAAAAGGAATTCAAAGAGAGAGATCCCTGGTTATTTCTGACTCCCAGAGATGATGCATGTGCAGAGTAGGCCAAAGGGGGATGTGGCCGGCTGAAAGGCAGCGTCCTCTCCACCACCCCCAACCACAGTACCCTGTGAGCTGCTGTTTGTTAGATGACTGGCCCTGCTAAAGTCACTCACTGGGCCCTATGGTGTATTCCTCACCAGCTGCCACAGCTGGTGACCTCTGGTGTCCTAACTCATCCTCACCCCCTTCCTGTCCGTGGGACAAATTATCCTTCTGGAAACAGGGCTCTTCTTCTCTGGGGCCCAAAACCCTGGGGGACGGGCCCTCCTGGCCTTGGAAAAGGCCCACACCGAGAGGGTATGAAAAAAGGAAGGCGTTGAGCAGGAAAAAGCCTTAATGCTGCTTCCCACTGGGTGGCAACGCAAGTCCAAGCTAGGCGATCTCACCCAGTAGGCCTCGGTGAATCCCCAGGGGCCATGAAGGTGGTGCTCACAGGGCGGTCCTCGACCAGCAGCAGCAACTTCACCTGGAAACCCGTTAGAATGCAAATTACCTCGGCCCCACCCAGCCCTCCACGACCGGAAACTGTGGCGCTGGCACTTAGCTCGGTGCTTTAACGAGCCCTCCAGGTGCGCCGGGCACGAAGAGCAACGAATGGAGGAGCGGATTGGGGAAAGAAGGGCCTCTCCTTTAAGACGGAGCGGACGCCCCCCGCCCCCCCTTCCCGGGCCTCCTAACAGCCTGCAGCGGCCGGCGGCTCTCAGGTGCGGCTGCGAGGAGGCCGGAGTGAGGGAGCCCGAGACGCCCAGCGCGCAGGGCCGGTGAGGCGGAGGCGGGCTGGCGAGCGGGTCCGGCGCCAGGGGAAGTACAGCCGGGACCGCGACGGCGCCGACGGGGCCCCCGGGCGCAGCGGGCCGGCGCCCAGCACCTTTCCAGCCCGGGCAACCTCAGCGTCGCCCCCACTCCCACCCCACCCCGCACCGCTGGCCCCGGGCTGCGGGGTTGGACGGCTGCGCCCGCCAGGGGCTCGGAATCCGGGGCGGCCGGCCGGGATGCGGGCGGGAGCGGGGAACCGGGCCTCGCCTCACGGCGGGCGCCCCTTCCTCACAGCCGCCGGGACCCCGGCGCCCGCGCCCAGAGTCATGAACCGCAGCAGCACGAGCAGCGCGGCCGAGAAGGCGCCCACACCCATGCTCTGGGGTGAGTGAGGGTCCGGCGGGTGGAGGGTGGGGAGGGAGGCGGAGGAGAAACGGGGAGCCTCCCTGAGCCGGCCCGGCCCCCTCGCTGCCCTTCTTCCGCAGGCTGTGAGCTAAACCAGGAGAAGCGGACCTGGACCGTCAAACCCCAGAAGGAAGGAAAGCAGTACTGTAAGCTGTTGCTCAGTACGGTGGGTGTCCCGGCCCCCAGGAGGGGATGGTAGGATGGACTCGGGAGGGACGTGGCCAGCTGCGGGGGAGCAGGTGGGGCTCTCTGGTCTCTGCAGGTGGAACAGGGGTTCCCTCCGGTGTTGAGGTGGCCTGTCTTCAAACGCTCTCAGATTTGCTTGGGGGAGAAAGCCAAAGAAGAGATGAACCTCGTGGAAATCCTGCCCCCAGCCAGCCAGGAAGACAAGAAGGCCAAGCCCATCACCATCGCCTCTCTTCAGGCCTCGGTGCTCCCCATGGTGAGCCTCCCTACCCCATCCCCCCCCCGCCCCCGCAGGCTTCGGGAGGCTGCCTGCCCCGGGCACTCACCGCCTGAGCGGGTGTGGACGGACAAAGGTGGGATACAGTCGTTCTGCAGGAATGCAGTCCCGCCAGGGGGCCGTATAGCCAATGACTTTGAGCCTTGGACTTAGGCAGGGAGCCCCGTTTCCATCCCAGCTCACTTTTTCCCAGCTTGGGCAAGTTAACCTCTCTACAAAATCACGTTTTTAAACTTTTTGATGCTGGTGACAGGACACTGTTGATGACTTCCACATTGATTGTGTATCCAGAAGTTCTCTTATCTCTAGTAATTTATCTTGAGTTCTCTATGCAAATCATCATTGTTAATGGCAGTTTTTGTATCTTTTTTTTTTTTTTTAATTATACTACATGGTCTAGGACCTCCAGTGTACTATTGAGGAAGATTGTAATGGTAGATGTCCTTGTTCCTTTCTTAATACATGTATGTATATTTTTAAAGGAGTGCTTCTAACGTTTCTCCATTAAGTGTGGCACATCTGATAAGACGATAACTTCCTTTTTCAAGTTAAGGAGTCCCCATCTAGTCCTGCTCTGCGTTTCAAAATTGAGATTTCTTCTTTTTAATCAAAAATGGTTATCAAGTGCTTTTTTAGATTTAGATGATCATAGGTTCTTTCTTCTTTAACCTGTTAAGGTGGTGAGTTATATTAATAGAATACTCTTCAGCCAACTTTGCATTCCTAAGATAAACACTAATAGATCATACTGTGAATTTCTAGATTTGCTTTGCTATTATATTTTTTAAAAATTTAAATCTTACATACTCGTGAGGTTGGCCTATCTTATTTGGGTGTCAAGGCACACTAGCCTCATGAACTGGGGGATGGAGTGTTCTCTCCTTCTATATGGTGGAACAGTGAATGTAAGACCGGTATCATCTGTCCCTGAAGATCTGGGAGTCCCATCTGTAAAACTGCCCCAAAACTCCCCCCCACTACCCCCATCTATGAGCTCTCCCTAGATCTCCTTCATTCCCAGGGTTTTATTTTTAAAGACCATCTATACAAATCAAAACTTTGATATTTATTTCTATAGACCCAATCCCTCTCTTGTGCTCCAGATCCTGTGTCCAACTCAGTGTATTTAATAGATATCTAAGAGATAACCCAAACTTAACAAATCCAAATCCAGATTCTTGATTTTTGTCTATAATCTCTTCTCCCACCCCCAAACCTGAGCCTCTCCCAGAATATAATTGCTCTCCCAGTTATTCAAGACAAAAACTTCTTTCTCTAACACCATATATCACCAGCAAATCCTGTTGCCTCTGCCTTCACAATGTACCCCCATCTGACCACCTGTCACCACCCCCTGCCATGTCCTGGCCCAGGTGCTCAGTTTTATTGCAGAGTCTCCTAACTGGTCCACCAACCCCCACCCTTGGTTCCTTATAGTCTATTCCAGGGTTCCACAACCTACAGGATTAAATCCAGCCTACTGCATGTTTTTGTAAATGAAGTATTATTGAAACACAGCCACGCTCCTTCATTTTGTATATTATCCATACCTGTTTTCCCTTGGTAACAGCAGAACTGAGTAGTCTCCACAGAGACCATAAGGTTCACAAGCCTAAAATACTGGAAATCTACAGAAAAAAATTCCCCAATCTCTATTCTATGTATGCACCAGGTGCCAGAAGGATCCTTTTAAACAAAAGTCAGACCATGTCGCTTCTCTGTTAGAACACTTATGTCAGTGGCTTCCCATTTCACTTAGAATGAAATCCAAGATCCTTTATGTTCTGGCCCTTAGAAACCTCTCTTAAACTCACCCTTTGCTACTCTCCCCTCCCTAATCCTGCTCAAACTACACTGGCTTTCTTGATTGTACCTTGAAAATTTCAAACATACCCCCTTCCTGGGATTCTTGCATTTACTGTTCTCCATGCTAGGAATTCACTTGCCCCTCACTTCAGCCTTTGTTCACATGTCACCTCATTCAAGAAGTCTTTCCCAGAGCACCTGGGTGGCTCAGTTGGTTGGGCTCTCAATCATGGCTAAGGTCTTGATCTCACAGTCGTGAGTTTGGTCCCTGTGTCTGACATGAATCCTGCTTTAAAAAAAAGTCTTCCCCGACCACAAACCGCATCCCCTCTTCCTACCCTTCCGTAACCACTTTTTCTCCCATGGAACCCATCACTGGCTTCAGTTTTCATCTGTGCCTGTCTTTCTCCCCAACAAGGATACAAGCTCCAAGACAGCAAAGACTTTGCCTTTTCATTTACTGCCTTAGCCATAATGCCTATATACCATATGTTATGGTATGTTGTAGAAACTGGTATATTGTAGACACTCAACATGTAATGAGTGAGTAAGGAAGTGAACAAACTATGTGCAACTGGTTTGATTTTAAACTATTGTCATTTAAGTTTTAGGTCTAGATGTTTCCATTTCTTTGAGTCAGTTTTTATATCTGCTTTATTGAGATATAATTTATATACAATAAGATCCACCAGTGTTAAGTATACCACTTGATGCATTTGATAAGTGTATATAATTTTGTAACTACCACTGCAATCAAAGTAGAGAAAATTTCCTTCACCCCCCAAAATTTCCTCATCCCTCTTTGCAGCCAGCCCTTTCCACCTATCACTGCCTCTGGCAACCATTGATCTACTTTCACTACTCTGTTGCCTTGTCTAGAATTTCATTTAAAGGGAATCATGCAATACATAGTGTCTGGTACCTGGCTTTTTTCACTTAGCATAATGCTTTGAGATTTATCTGTTGTTGGTGAAACAGTAATGTGCTCCCTTTTTATGTCTGAGTAACTTTCTATTTTACAAGTACATATATATGTCAAGATTTATTTATTCATTCACTTGTTAGCAGACATTTGGATAGTTTCTAGTTTTTT